AGAGGTACATATTAATAGTGTATCAAGTAGAGGGAAGACTACCAGGTGACTATTTTAGACATCAATAAATGAATACTTCTGAGTGAAGTAGAAGAAATCTTGACCTGGAGTTTGTTCTTGGATGGAAGAAACTTTAGACTTTAAAACCTAAATCCGTGGGAAATAAGTCTTCCTTAGTTTCATTATTTACAAAGCTACTACTTTTGCTCGGTACTTAGTCTAAAAAATGCGTGGCAAAACCATCAAGATCATACTTTATTAATAGTCCTGCATGATAAGAATAATGAACGTGAAACTGTCTCATTGTATTTCAGAGAATAGACTGATGTGGTTAGTTCTGCTGGGCCCAGATAAGTGCTATTCTAAGTCTGGTGCATTAGACCAGTTGTAAGCTGCTCCAGCATTTACCAAAAAGCTCTGGAATAACTCTGCTTTAATGCTTTGGCTGATGAAAAACTTCACTTACCTAGTTAGGGGAAGCTAATATCCTTATCACCTTGAAGGAGGTAATACTTAGATGGACTATGGCCAAACTGCTTTTTTTCCTACCTTCTGATTCATATGCTGAAAGGTCAGCACCAGAAAATAGTAAATATTTATAAATAACATTCTTCCCATGCTTATTCTTTAGAAATTTCTCTTGAATTTGGCAAGCAGATGCAATTATCTACAAGTTCTGAGGCTTCCGTGCTGTTGAATGTAGGGCACTGAAGAATGTAATACTTGAGTGATTATTTAATGAAACTTTACTAATACTCAGATATTGCTGTTTATTGGCATTAGCAGTGTGATCACATGGATGCACCTCTTCCATTGTAGTGACTAAATTTAACCTAACCAAGTGAGTTTGCTGACCCAAGTATATATACACTATGGCATACTGAGAAAACCTTTAATTGCATAGGTACAGTTAAAATACTGAAAATACTGAATTTTAGGGATTGAATTGGACCTTCCATGAGCAGGGACACCTCCCACCAGATCAGATTGCTCAAGGCCTCATCCAACCTGGCTTTGAACACTGCCAGGGTTGGGGCAGCCACTACCTCCATGGGTAACCTGTGCCAGTGTCTCACCACCCTCACAGGAAGAAAATTTTCCTAATAATTAGCCTAAATTTCCCGTTTCAATTTGAACCCATTATTCCTTGTCCTATCACTGCAGTTCCTAACAAAAAAGTACACTTCTGTGAAAAAATACATAGTGCTCGTGCTGTAGGAAAAATTTCTTTGTTCCACCTTCTAAGCTAACTATTCATAATCAGAGTTGAATGGCAAAAAAGATGCTAGTACTTAAAAGTGTTATTAAGAATATGTATAAGAATTATATTCTGAATTAGTAAGTGGTATAATTCTTCACAGAGAAAACTCAAGGTTTTTTTTCTGCCACCAGCTGTGCCCATGAAAGGGTTGTCAGTTGTAAAGTACTTCACTGCCTCAACCAGAATCTTGGAGATCTGGGTTTGAACTCTGAACTGAATAAGGATCATGAATCACTCTGGGGAGCCTGTTTTCAGACTTCTCTCAAATGAACATCCCATCCATCTAGTGGCTTTAGCCACTAGACTGTTTTGGCAAGGAGAAAGAGATCCATAACATTCCATTCTGTAATAATAGGTTTGTTGTAAGAGAAGCCATATGAAATGTCTTGGCTTTGATAATGTTTATTTGGAAAATTCTTATATTTATCTGCAGACTTGAACTGTAATGTTTACCTGTATTGTGTACCCTAATTACTTCTGAAACTTTTCATACCCCTGTGTGTGACTGCAATAGTAAGTACTTAATGAAATCCAAAAAATCTTGTCCATTTGCTGTGGAATAAATACCATATCTTTCCAATTTAGAGGGCTGCTAGAGAAGAAATACTTGCCAATGGAGGAAGTCTTTCACATCACCATGGAGGTAATGTTCTCAGTCTAATATTAATCTCTCTGATACTGCTAAATATTCCTGAGTACATAAAATAGTTTGCAGTAGAACTTTAAAAAATATTTCACATGCATTAACTGAAATTAGTGGAGTAGAGTCAAGAGGGAAGGAGATTTCCTGGCATTTTTTCTAGAAACTTCTCACTCCTTTGCCAGTTTGAACATCTTGTCTTAAGCAACTTCTTCTGATCCTTGTGCAGATGTATATTCAGTTACAAAGACTTCGAATTCAAGTTTCATAGTTTTAAGACAGTTTAGTGTCCCTAGTGGCTGGGTGAATGGTGTTGGCCCAAATTCCAGAGCACTTAGACAAAGTATCTGCATAAAAGAGCTAGTGACTTCAAACTGGGCTGCATTGCAATCTACCATTTGTTCCATAATTGACATTATGTAAGTGTTGATATTAGTGGCTTGCTGTCTGATAAGTTCTAGCTATTCAGTTTCTCCTGGAGTTTGGGGATTCCTTGTCCTGAGTTACTAGCATCTTCACAAAGTATTTTGTGTTTTAATATTTAAGAACCAATGTCATGTATAAGTGGTACTTTATATGATGCTTTACATATGCTTTTCCAACATACTAAGATATCCTAGTGTTTGTATGTGTCCTATTTAATGATGTAACCTTGGATGTCAGGAAGACTTGTGAAGTCAGTTTGATTTGTTCTTGAAATGCTTGACTAAATAAATTTCTTCTCTCTGCTCTCTTGGGGCATTGCCTGGCCAAAAATGCAAGAGCAAATAAGAAGTGTAATGGTTCAAAATGAGACAAAGCTTTGGTAATTCTGAGAATTAATGAAGGATAGAACCTGTGCTTTAAAACATGTCAGTGACTTTCCTGGACTTGAAACTTGTAGCTAGGGCTGGTTTTGGGTGTCTTTGCTTTATGATGGAAACTGAAGTGGACTCTGCTTTAGCAATATCAGGATACTGAAGGATGTGTAGGTGATAACATGACTGAAAATGGTTTAAATATTTTTTTATTTGATATGCTCTTACTGTCCTCTGATTAAATCTTTAATATGGTAGTGTAGTGGAGCTGTCAATTCTCACACATGGGATGTGGAATTACCCCCTTGATGTACTATTGTGCTCTCCCTGCTGTGGCAGCTGTGTTTTACTGTGACTAGCATTCCATCCATTAACTCACATGCAGCTGGAGCTTGTCACAGTGTTCAAATGTATTTGCCTCACGATATAAAACCTTGCTTACAGCATGTGTTGAACAAGAAAAAAAATTGTTATGTAGCATTTTTAAGCCCTTGAACTTTGTGACTCCACAGCTATGGAAAACTGGGTTTCTGTTCAGTTCTTATGCTCCTGTGGCATGCATGACTCCCTCTCATACTGATAAATATTTTCCCCTTTGAGTGTTTTTGTCTGGCAGTTCATTGTGTACAATATCCAGGTTTAATTTTTTCCACTGCTTAGTAGATGTGCTGCTGAGAATTAGCCTAATAGTATCAGTTTTATTTACTGACCTTCAGGCCTTGTCAGTCTTAGCACTAAGACTGCTGTATTGTGTGGGGTAAAAGAAAATACTGGCGCAATTTCTTTTGGTATTTGTCTTGTAATTGTGATTAATAACAGTTGTTTTCACTATCTGGAAACAGACAGGCTGCTTTGTCTGCCTACAATCACACTGTGATAAATGAAGCTATTTTAACTCTGGGTTTGTGTATCAAAGAAAACAGATGTAGTCTGGGACTTGAGGCTATAGGAAATACAAAGCCTGCTTAAGTCAGTCTCCATACACTCCTCTGGTGAAGAAGTGGTCATATATGACAGTTCGAGTTGCATAAAGCTTTAAGTTACTTTACATCTGCGGAAGTACTAACTGCAGGTAGACACATAGCTACAGTCCACAGTGAGAACTGAAATTATGATACTTTTAATTTTATGAAGAGTAGCTTCAGCGAGGCTACTTTGGGTATCTCTTCTTCCCTCTACCCACCCTGATTGTGGTTTTCACCTTGCCTTGACTATGTCCTACACTTAGAAAGGGATTGAGCATAGCTTTGATCCTTCTGCTTTTCTGCCGCTGAGTTTCTTTAGATTTGAGAGTCAAGTAAGGGTTGCCAGAAAGCCATGGTGTTTAGAAACTTGGCATTTAAAAACCAGCATTAGGAATGACAATTTCTTGTAGATACAAGTTTAAGTTTAGATAAATAATTATTCTAATCATTTATGGCAAACCCTAAAAACACCCACATGGCATGTCATACCTTTCATTCTTGAATTCCTGTTTCATAAAACATGCCTTTATTTGTATATGTAAAACAACATGTGCTGGGGAAGTACCTGTAGGTATGAGTGGTATATAAATAGAACTATAACCCCTTTGGGATACAGCACCAGAAGGGAGAAGGTTGGGTTCCTTTCTTTTCCTGATCCTTTTCATACTGCCAAGCTAAGGACCCATGTAAAACTAAAGAACAGTGTACAACTTGATGATACCTTGTTTCCCTTTCAGAGGGTGTTTGAACTAAAACTGGTTACTTAAGGAAACAATTATCAGATTGTGAAACTGAAGAAAATAGCCCCATTTAGCCACTTAACATAATAGAACTAATTTTCTTCTACTTTCTAGACAGATTGACTAGAATAAAGGTTAACCAGGTAGCCCAGGCCCCCCAGGTTTAGCTTATAGTATTAATGGAAGTTTATATAAACCCCTCACAACACTAAAAAGAACCCAACCAAACCCAAAACCACCCTACCCCCACCCTGCCAAAACCCAAACCAAACAAAAAACCCAAAGAAAAATCCAAACAACCCCACACCTTATTTGCATTCAGTTGCATATTTGACATTGCAATTCTTTGGCTTCATTAAGAGGCTGTGGCTTAAGCTATACACTGCAGTAATGAACCCACGCAAGCTACAAAATCTGAAATTATGATATTCCCTTATGGGGGAAGTTGAACACATTCTTTTCTCTTCTACACAGGAAAAATATCTTCTTCTCTTGGGTTAAGCACTGCAAACTGATCATACTGGAGCTTGCTCTACTCATTAGAATGAGTTGAACCTGCATACATTTGTCAGACATGGAGTAACCTTATGTGAGATAATATAATAATAAAATTGTATTTTCTTCCTTAGTCTGTTGAAAGTCTTAATAAAATAGTCATCTTCAGTGCCTTTAAGAAAAAAGTGCAAAGGACTTTCTGATTCATCAGCACAGAACTTGAAGGTACTTAAGCTGTTAAGTTACCAAGCAAAAATGTGCAAGATGTTATGGTGATGGTGTTAATTATGTAGTAGAGTTGATGTACACTGGTTCAATATACCCCAGTGCTGTATTAGATTAATGCACTCACCTTTTTCAGTATTGCAGAGTGCTCCCTGGAAGAGCAATACCATGTTAAGCAGTTTCTAAGAACAGGGAGCTGCTTTCTGTAGAGACAACTAGCTTCAGGAAGAGCATGCAACAGCTGGAAGAGGCCCATCATTCTTAGGACCTGTCACTGCAAAGCTATTGTTATGCAATAACTAACTCTTCAGGTTGAAAGGGCTGGAGCAGAGGAAGTCTAGAGCCATGTGCAGTGCCACTGGAGCCTGTTTCCCCTGGGACCACACAATGCTATAAATCTGTTCTGCATGGGTGTAGAGTAATTCCTGGAATCCATCAGCTGCATGAAAACTTTCCTTACAAGACTGTTCACTTGTGCCCTAGTACTTAATATTCCAAAAGTGAGAAAACCAATTGCTGCCTGCTGTTTGCTAGCTCCATTTTTAGCAGCCAGACTTTTTGTAGCCATCCAAATGCATTTCTGAACATGAGCAAATGAAAAGGGTAATGGAAGCATTTCCAATTGGAAACTTTTCCAATGAAATCAGCTAAGGGCAGAACCAGCATGTATCAGAACTGGGAAAGGTAACTTAGCCAGTTCACATGTTTCTGTCTCAGACATAGACTAGAACGATTGATAAATAAAAACCTAAATTGGTGCTGGACTGTCCTTGGAGTTACTGCTAAACAAACTTCTTGGCTTTCTGATCTGGAGTACCTTGTGTGAAGAAGGCTTTCTGCCATGCTGAGGGATTTGTACTCTGTGTAGTAGGCTGGGGGTTTAATTATTTTTTAGGGCATTGGACTGCTCAGCACACCCCAGGAAAAGGCCACTTGTAAAACTTAAAACCTAATGCTATTGTACTTCATGTTGGATAATTAAGATCACAGATTCACAGAATGGGTAAGGTTGGAAGGGACCGCAGTGGATCATGTGGTGCAACCTCCCTGCTCAAGTAGGGTCATCCTAGAACACATGGCACAGGATTGCATCCAGACAGTTCTTTAAAATCTCCAGTAAGGGAGACTCCACGACCTCTGGGCAATCTCTTGCAGTGTCTGGTCACCTGCACAGGAAAGAAGTTCTTCCTCATCTTCATGTAGAACTTCCTGCGCATCAGATTCTGTCCACTGCCTCTCGTCCTGTTGCTTGGCGCCACTGAGAAGAGCCTAGCTTCATCCTTTTGACAGGCTCCCTTCAGGTGCAAGATTTAGTGTCTTCAAAGGAAGAAGATGCAAGAAGGAGGGGCTGTGTTTGTTTCCAGCTGGGGGAACAAGGATTGTGCATGTAATGGTGTGTATAGCTGAGTTGATAAATAGTAACTTGTTAAGCTACTACAAATTGATTGTTCAATGTTATTCTGATTTGAGAACCTTATTAATAATGCTGTGAGGTAGCATATAGAATCAAGTGGTTTTCATCTCATTTTTTAATTGAGAAGAGTATACTGCGCTGGAAGCCTTGAAGTGGTAGATGCTTGTACCAGTTCTGGTTCTGTGTACTGTGTCATGTCAGTTATAGATAAATGGCATCGTGTACAGCTAAAACTAAAAGGTCTACTTTCTCTAGGCTAGAAATGGGAAGCTGTTTTTTCTTTAGTCTGTGATGAGATCAGGTTTAACTGAGACCTTAATGTTAGGGAAGTTAAGGCTTCCTTGAGCTTAGGACTGTTCTTTAGCAAGTCTTAGAGTGGAGGTAAGCAACTTTGTCACTTGGAATTGTTTTTATGTTCATGATAACATCTTTTATTATGGCACTTGCTTCTTCCTTTGCCAGTCTTATCCTTGAAGCTAATTGGGTTGTTCTGTGGAGAAGGAACAGAGTATCTATAGCACAGCACTAACCTGAAGTGAAACAATATATAAATCACTTTTCTAAGTGGCACTGCACAGAGCCTTTCCTTCCCTTGGCCTATTTGCCATTTTATCTGGAAGTCCAGCATAGAATTCTGAGAGATTTGCTTCAACACTTTCTAAGTCTTAATATGAAAACCTGAGTAGTTGAAAAATCCAGGCATAACTTATTGGCATGAACCGTAGGAGCAGAGGATCAACTTGCTGTTATCAAGGGGTTAAAATTTTTTTGTTGAGCATGTTTGTGAAGGGCTGCTGGTGACTGTAGTACAGCTTGCTTTTCTTTCCAGTTCACTTATCAGATGCATGTTAGATTTATTATTGCAAAAGTATAAACCATAGAAAATTTGACAAGATAGATGTGTAAATTATCACTTTGACAGAACTAATGATGCACTCCAAGCACCTTCTGTTTTCCAGCGCTTGGTGAGCGACTTCATTAAATATGCAACGACTGTTTGGTGCTGCTCAGACAGTAGTTCAGTTCCTTGTGGAATTACATTATTACTGGAGGTGTAAAAGAGGCAGGCACGCTAGCGGTTGGGCATCCTGCTGTGATTCTAATGTGCTCCATCTTGTTGGAGCAGTTGTTTGCAGTCTTTTCAGGACAATTACATCCATAACCACAGAACACATTCACTGAAACTATATTACAGATAACAGTTGAGAATAGTAATGACTGTTCTTCAGCTGCTTGTGTAAGAGCCAGTGCGAGTGACTTGAGGTGATGGTCAAGCCACATCTATGGTTTTGGGGTTTTTGTAGTAGTATTTAAGTTTTCCCAGGTAAAATTGACCCATGTCAGCTTGCTCAGTCAGTCATGTTGTCATGGTGGTATATTTACAGATAGGGATGTTTTCTTGAACTGGAGCTGCAAAATACAACCACAGTTTCTACCATGTAACAAATTCTTTTGTCCTTCAGTTGTGGTCTTTGCTCTTGACACAAATGCTGCTAATAGTTGCTTTCTAGCAAACTGCAAATTTCATTCTCTCAACATTATTTGCCTTTTCTGTTGGCATTGTGACTAGCTTGTATTCCTTAAGGTATAAACAAATATACTCTGTTCTCCAGAGGTGTCCCTGTAATTTATTATTCTGATGACAGTTTGATGGTTACCCTGAAAACAGGGCACAAAAGATGGCTTGAATTTAGCTTCAGATACTCTTAAGGTTTCTGTCTCTCAAACCTTTACAATATCACATCATACTGACAAATGGATTGTGTTTCAGGCTGACAAGTTAAATGCTAGAGTGTTTAATGAAAAAAATGTCCTTAGTTTTGAATGATCTGTTAATCAGAGTTGATTATTTGGTTAATTAGCATGTGAACACTCGGCCATTTCACAGGAGTACTGTGAGAATTTTGGTGGAATGAGTTCTTAAATGACTTAGTGTTTCAGCTTTGTTTTGTATTTGGTATGTTGTGAATATCCGTTTTTACATGGGAAACCAAGCTCTTGTGTAATGGTATTGAGCAATTACCAGCCTCTATTCAAGTTTTCGAATGAAATATTAAGCCTTCTTCATAGAAAACAATATTTTGCTATTTAAACCAATACTAGTTTAAGCTTAAAACCTTTAAAGCACTCAAGTAATGTAGGTGTCTGCTTTTTTAGTAAGCCTCCTCTACAATTTCCTTCTTAAAATTAGTTTGTGGCTCTTTAAAACTTATTACTGATTCCCTGTCTTAATAGAACATGTGATTTCAGCCAAAGCTTCATCTAAATTTCATAGTTTCTGAAGAAAGTAGACAGTGTGGAACACAGTCTTCCTCTGGGAGTATGCTGAGCTTAATGAGCTTGATAGTCTGGTGGGCTCAATAAATCAAATAAAGCAAAACATTTCTCATTTTTGAATAAAAGCATTTATCACCCAGTGTTTATTCATTCATGGTCACAAGATTGATTGGTTCCTATAATCCTGCCATATATTGAAACACTTTGTTTTTGTTTTTCCAGTAGGCAAATTGCGGAAGCGCTGGATGAAGGAAAGCATCTCTGATGTTGGCCTGGGAATGCTGAGATCTGTAAAAGAATACGTGGACCCCAATAATATCTTTGGAAACAAAAATCTTTTATAAGGCCCTGCACAAATGATGTACTAAAACTTTAAAATTACTGTTGAAATTCCTCCACTTTCATTGTATTGATATCCCAGTAATCAAATATAACATAGACTAAACTTTCAAAACTAGTAACTTACATTGATTTTTTTTTTTTTTTTTTTTTTTTTTTTTTTTTTGCTACCCCCTTCCCCCTCCCCCCAATAAAGTGTAAACATCACTGTTAATGGTTATGGATTTTTACTTACAATGCTCTTAAACAACTCACTGGGCACAAAGTATCAGCCAGGAAATGCAAATTTGTTTTTTCAAGTTTGGTTAGGCAACACAGCTGACAGTATTTTCAAAGCTGGATACTGCCAGATGTTTCTAACTTAAAGCAAGGAGAACAAAGACTTGACAACAGTCTTTTCTACAGAAGCAGCTGCTCAACCCAGCTTCTTGCTAAAGGAAAGCTGCTAAGGGGCAAAGGAGACAACACCAAGGAGTACTTCACTGTACCAAAGGATTAAGTATGTAATAGACTTGTAACCAGCAAATACTTTAAGACTATAAATAGAGGTTTTGATCAAGAGAGACAGAGTAAGTCAAACTACTAAAAACTCAGTAGTCTCTCACTGTAGTACTACTGGAAAATCTTACACAATTGAGCTGTTCTGAGTTGTATTTGCATTGCTGGGATAATATCAAGTTAACTGTAGGTCTGTCACTCTAAGTTTTCTACAATGGACATTTCTCACTGTATGTTGAAAACAGGTTTGTAACAAAATTTTGCGTTCATCTGTACTTCAGTCCTAGTGTGTACGGGTTTTGTTCCTGTTTTATTTGTTTTGCAGAGATGCAAAATATTTTTTTCAGTTAAAAACAAGTTTTGGCTATTCTAATGAAACTTCCCAGCACTGTCTTTTGAAACAGTCTCAACCGTTTAATAAAACACTTAAGTGGACAACCTACTGTCATCCTGAAAGTGAGATTTCCCTTTTAAGTTTTGTACCGTTTCCTATGGCCTTTATGAATCATTTATTTACTTTAGTTTACTTGTCCATTTAACTTTATGAAAATGAAATATTTTCTTGATCAGTATCATGTGAGCCTAAGCATTTTTACATTGAAACTTGAATCTTAATCAGTAAAATAAACTAAAAGTATTTGTTGATACTCATGATCCATTTTTAAGGTGGGTTCTTTCTTAAAGCAAATTATCCAACTTTTTGATAATTATTGTATATGATTGCATAGGATAGGAAAAATACAGACTATCCTTTGAGGACACTGTCTCTAGCCAACTGCTTCACAGCTCTGTAGTGTCAGTTTGGATGCCTTTTGTATTGGTAGTGCCCTTAATGAGAAGGAAAATATAAAGATGGATTTTTGTTTGTAAACTTTTAGAATACTGTCTAATTAGCTCTCAGTTTGGGTAACATACCAAAATAAAAGTATAAAATGCTTGAAAAGATACTGCATATCAGACAATTCTGAACTTGTTTAAAGGTTAATTTCAATGCTATTCTTAAAATGACTGAAAAATATGAACACTGAGAACATCACTTTAAAATGCATGCTGTCAAGGTACTTAAAACTTTATGATCTGCAGGTCCTAAGACAGAATGTTCATGTGATATTTGCAATGCAGCTAGATTTATTTTGAATGGTCTTTGTTTCAGGACATTTCAATTTAAAAACATTATTTTTTCTTGCCCCCAGAGTTCATATTTCAGCAGTAACCAAAACAAGAGGTGTAGTCTGTTATAGGAAACTGAGCCTTCGCACTATGGTTAAGTGTTCCTTAAGTACACAGTGGTGTCTCAGCACAGTGAATCTGCACATGTTTGTGCAGGAGTTTCCTCACCTTGCATGCTGCACAGTGGTGACCACATGGCCACAGCTGGTGTCTTGCTGATGACTTGTACCACTCTGAAATGGAGACCTTCTGAGGAGCTGGTGAATATGAAGGATGTTTATGTGCCTCAATGAAAGTTTATGTCTAACTATGAAGAATTTATTTTGAAGGAAAGTGTGTGAAGCTTTTTTGCAGAATGACAGCACAAAGATAACTAGAACAAGTAGTCATAGCTCAGTAATCCTGGTCTCTTAAGGTTTTGACTAAAGTACAACACAGCTTTACAACATCCTTTCCAATTTTTAATTTTCTGGCTGTAGTGTCTTCATCCCTTTTATTGTATTGAAAGTACACACATAAAAACTCCTTATACTCTCTAACCTTCAAATAGCCACTGACTTCTGAAGTGATTTAAAACGCAGTAAAGATTTTTACTGTATGTCAGTTGTCCTATGGGAAGGTGAAATAACAGGCTATAAGCGTCCCAAAGCACTGTCACTGGATAGCTCTGAAGAGAAGATTAACTACAAATGTAATGGATATTTTTTTTCTATTGCCCACCCTATTGCTGTCTTCCTAAATATTTTTCTATCTTATGAACTGGTCAGAGCATAGTGAAACTGTAGTTGAAACATGTATCACTGTCTTTAATTCCACATTTAAATTCCTAATGAAGATTGAAAAAAGAGTAATGCAAGTTCAGAAGACCTAGATACACACTGATCACTCACCATTTAACTGAAATCTTACTTTCTCTGATACTAAAGTCTTCCACCACTCTTCTTTCTGTATGCTCTACTTTCTTTCTGCAGACTTCACCTCCCATAGCTGCAGCCTGTTCAGAGATGGAGTTTGATCCATGCAGATCAGAAGTGTATCGGCATAACATAATTTTTGCATTTGCTTGACTATTTTGGCCGTATGTAAGTTACAAGCAGTTTTAGTTACGCTTGTAATGACTTCCAATTACACAGCTTCTGCTCCCTTTGAAGGAGGAAAGGTACAGAGTGAGTATGGCTTGACTGTAAAATATGTTTACATTAGAGAAACCTTTATAAAGGTTTCAAGGGGAAAGAAGCAAATCTGTTAGAAGTTGATCCAGGATCTAAATCTTACAGTCAAAGCAAAACATGTCTTGACTTGACTTACAGTATGTTGGTTAAGTTAGAGATGTCATCTTTGCCTTACAGCTGTGAACAGAGGCCAGGCCAAATAGTTCTTCTGTAGCAATGTTAATTAACTGAAACCAATTTCAAAGGCAGGGATACATTAGCACTGAAATCCAGAAAACACAAATTGCTTCTCAGTCTTGGAAATGTATGTTTATTGAGGTTGTAATTTAATTTTCTGCAAATAAAGCCAAACAGTATTTGTCATTTTAGTGTGAGATAACTGTAAAACTTCAGTTGTAATGTTAAGAGATTACAGAACCTTATATTATTAATAAAAAGAAAATCGGCCTAAACAAGTATGTGTTTTTTGTGATGAAACTAAACAAATACATTCTACTAACTTGTCATATTGCTTCATTTTAATCTCATGGTGTACTCTTACCTAAGGAAAACTTATTAGAAACCCTTTGTCAGTTGCAGAGAAAAAATGATACTGAATATGTAAATGCATGCTAATAGGAGCTCTGCTTTTGTGTCCCACTGAAGCAAAATAGGAAAGAGAGAATTTCAGTGAAGGAAGGGCAAAACAACACCTGAACACCAGGGTACTTGGTTCAGAAATTTCACTTCCTCAGTATTCCCTTTTTGGGCAGCATGGGGGAACCACATTCAACTGCCCTTGGAAAGTTCTGTCCATATAATACAGGAGCATATGCCTTGTCTTATTTAGCTTCCCTGTATTTCAAAGACCTGTTGTATTAAGCTATTGCAACAGGCATGTAGTTTCCTGCTGCTGTGCTCATGTCTCTCTTAAAACCTCCTTGTTACAGGTCTTGGAATCCGCTTGGAAGTTGTGTGTGCACTAATGCACCATGTGTGAGCAGAAGTATTTCTCAGTTATCTGCATCATTGCTAATAAAGTCTTAGCTTTTAAGCTAAAATGGCTGAAATCACAGGTTGCTTGAAATAGATGTTGAGTTGACTTATGTTAACACAGTCTTAACACATATTGCACAAAAACTGTAGAAGTCATAGTATGCAAGGGATGGAAGAACTAATTATGTGGTTCACCTTGTAGAACTATGACAATTTCACCATATGATCCACATTTTTTTGTGTGCTTGCTCACAGGAAGGAGAAATCTACCTGACAGTCAAGCATTTTATTTGTGTTTCCCTTCTGTTAACAGCACTAAAATGCAGTATTTTTACTTGGATCTAGTGAGCCTCAGTTTGAAAGAGATCTTAGAAGATGATATACTTGTCTCAGGATGACAGCCAGTCCCCATCAGTGTTCTCTTTGTTTAAAATATGTACATTTTATAAGAAGTTGGATCTGAACTTGCAGCTGTGTAAATACTATAGGCTCACTGTTTATGCTTTTATAGTCCCCACACTGACTGAATTCCATACTACCTTTAACATAAATTGATGTCTTTCCTTAGGCTCTCTGTGGAGACCTGAATTGGCAGGTAGCTGCTTTGTTCATATTTAGCTTTCAGGTCTGCTCCTCTCAAGGGCTAGAGGTGGTCAAAGATAGTGTTCAAAGATGTTTGCCATACCGTCTCTGAAAAACACTGGTGCTGTCAGTTTGAAATTAAAAATTCCATTTTAAAACTATGTGAGCTGTGATATTTTTAATCATACTATTACTTGCACTATTCACCAATACAAGTTGCAGTAATATGTACCTTTACTGAAATGCTGTGAATGTTTTATTGACTAATTTGGTTTTGCACTTTGGAAAAACAAAGCATTGATCTTTTTATGGGGAACTTGGTGAACATTTCATTTTGATTCAGAATAAAGCCAAATTTATTTCAATTGCTTATAAATTCCAATATGGCATTCCTATTTGAGTAGCACTCTGTTTCTACCTTCATGGTAGCATGTAGTAGTTACCCCCATGCATGGGGACATAGCAGCTTTTGCATTAAGGTGTTGTAGTATTATAAAGCACCAGATCAGCCTTCTAAAGGGTAAACCAGAAGTGTTGATCACAGCAACGGAGTTGTGCAAAAAGATGGGCAAAACTCAATGATGTGACTGTAATCATGAAAAGTTCAAGCCAATGCTTCTATAACTTCAGATCAAATTAGAAAATGAATGAAAAATGGTTTTGTTTAAAAATAACACTTTACACTTTCAAATTATGAAGAATGTCAAATGATGTCTCCAGCTCTGCCGCTCAGTATTGTA